AGTGGTGGTGGGGCGAGTGTCTTTTTTTTTTTTTTTTTTTTTTTTTTTAATTAAAATAAGCCCCTTATCTTCCTCTATTCCTACAGTAAACGACTGAAAAAAAAAAAAAACAAAAACCTATCTTACAATTTCTTATGATTTTCTAAAAATACAAGGAGATAAATAAAAAGTGTTTTAGAACACTTTTAAAAGTATTTAAAAGGAAAAGAACCATCTGCAGCTTGGCCTAGACTAAGGATGCAGTAGATACGAAACTGCCATTTGTAGGGATTTTCACTACCTGCACTTTTGATGGTGTAACACTTCCGTAACTTGTGATGTTGTAGGCTGAAGATGGAGATGAGGAAGAGCAGGGAGCAGGAAGGGGACAGGAACTCTTTGGAAAACGCAGCTTTTTGCTTGTCTGTTTTTCACCTGCAGGTAAAAACGCTCCTCTCCTCTTCCCTCCCTCCAGACCTCAGGGTCAGCAGTGGCAGGAAGCAGTAATGACAGGAGACCCAGATAGGTTCGTTGCAGTCAACTTCTCCCTTCCTTTCCTAATCTTGCCCTCTTCAATAATACAGAGAAACCTCCACAGCATTTTAGAAAACTTCAGCTATGAAAAACCATTGGACATTTAGGTGATTTGAAAGGTTGAGGACGACAAAGACGTGTTCATGGGACAGTCTGGTTAAACATTTGACTTCTTAGTCTAACTTGTGTGTGAACAAGGCAAGTCCAGCACATGCTGAGCACTGGTTCAGCCTACACAGAAAATCTGAGCTCTAAAGCTTCACCTCATTTTGGGAAAGCTAAAGGATTTTACACAGGCACCCCAGTGCTAAGCGCTTCGTGGATTTTAATCTGGGTTAAGAGCCACCTACACAAAGAAAGCTTGAGAGCTCTCACATATCCAGGCATGCTGGGTTTCTAATACAACAGAATTCTACATCAAAATAATACAAAACTGTAAAATTCACAGATAAAGATCCTGGGGTGGATTCTGTGTCTCGCTGAGTCATACAAACATACCTTCATTATGGAGTCTAAATAGGCTGTCCATACCTTCTGAGTCTTTGCAATTGCTGTAGAATAAACTTTGTTTGAATTTGCTGAGAAAAGAAGGACAAGAAGTTTAGAAAAAAAGGAAATGAAAAGAAAACAAAAAAGAGAGAAATAAATAAAGTGCACTAAGACAACAGACAGCTTGCATCTTAAACACTTACCTATAATTCCTTTGAGAGGACTGACAGCATTCATAAGAGCTTTTAAGGTATCCTGTACTGTCCTGTCTCGTAATATATTTTTCTGAAACATGCTGAGGAAATTCTAAACAAAAGAAATGAATCATAAATTCTCACACATGGCTGTTACGCCATCAGGATTAATCAAAGCATGTATGTGTTCAATAGTTTTTTCTTGTTAGAGAAGGAATATTTCCACAGTTACAGAGCAGTTAAACCTCCTGTTTTTCCAGATCACACTATTCAGCATTATGAGACCTCCGGATCCACCTCACCAATATGTTAAGCCCCTGTAGCCAGCTGTTTCTTCAGTAATTAAGGAAAAACAGCCATCTTCATCAACACCTACATTATTATTTCTTTTTATATTTCTAACTGGAATAGGTCATATTCAGTCTGCTTTAAATTTAAGAAAAATCAAAAAGCTGTTTCATGCAGACAACCCCCTCAGCCAAGCAAAACTAACAAACAAAACAATTCTTTGTATATATCTAGACCAAAGAATGGAAGTGTAAAACTTCCAGAAAACATACAGTTTAGAAAGGCATTCTCCATGAACTGTGTCTAATGCTAACATGTAACCTATGGTGGTTAGCACCACTTATTCCAGATTAACAACTTTAATTGTATCTGTAACTGGTATTTTACTTTTGAGCTCCAAATCACATTTTTCTAAAGCTTTGGCTTTGTAAGATTATTATTAAAAAGCCTTCCAACCACAACAAGATACTTAGTTTCACCTGCCATTTCAGAAGTTAACAGAACTTTCATTCCACTGGAATGAGTTACTAAGCAATAAAAGGGCAGAAAAGGAAGCCCAGAGATTACCTGCAGCTCCTTCACAATCATGAAGCAGAGCAGCCTGTCTAGACCATTGAGACCAAAGGTACCTAAAGTATCTTGGATCTCTGAGAAGAGACGACTGCTGGTTACCTCCTGATGTGTTTTGGTATCATACCAGGTGTTCATTTGGTCAATGTAACATGTGAATCTGAAGAAAAAATAAACAAATTATATATTTTAGTGTGGGCTGCAGACTGTTCCTATGATGATGCAAGTAATGAGTTAATTTACTCTGAAAGGGACTAGAAAGACTCTGTAAAGACACTCCATTTTCTGCAAGGATTCTGTCACTCTCCCCTCATTCATCTCTAGCTCTCTGCTTTGCTTCCTAAACCAAAATGACAAATTTCTAAACTAATACTTAAAATGTACAGGACTGTTTGAGTAAATTCTGTTTTAGATAAAGAAGGCAGCCTTTATTTGACAGCCAAGGAAAAAACTATTTGCCTACAATTAGTATATTTGCTTATTATATAGTGGAATTGGACCAATACAATGCATAGAGCTATAACACAGCTTGTGGTATATAGGACTTACTTTGGATCTGTGATCCTCAGGATTTCTCTACAAAGCCGACCAATAAATGTTACAGATTCATCCACAGGTGTGAATTTTGGTATAGGAATATGAGTAGACTGGTATATGCTTTGCCAGTCTTGAATCTGAAAAGTAAAACAGTAATTTGCAATGTTATCATTACATATATTTTTAATTTGCTTTAGAAATTCAATTTCTTTTCTTTTAAAGTGGTAAATGCTATAGAACAATGCAGTAAATTGTATGCAGCAAAACACTATAAAAACAGAATAAAACGAAAAGAAGAAATAATTTTAAGACAAAGGGCAAGCATAATATAAAGACAACAACCTAAATTCCTGGTGAGAATTCCACCTGCTACTTTCTGCAAGAGAACTATCTGCCATTTTTTAGCTAAATTAGAGATCTATTCACTCCCTTGCTTGTGAATTGTAAGATGGTGACCAAAAAGAGCAGATTACTATGGCAGTCTTTATAAGGCTGCATTTGATAACTGGCCACAGACAGGAGAACTGCTATGATTCAATAGTTATTTTCTGTCTTCTGCAGGAAGGAAAATAATACTGCCTGTTTATGGAAAATATTAAAATACTCTGTGGCTTTTCACTTTGCTTGTATGCAACTAATACAGTGGGGATGCTGAAATCATTTCCTAGAAGGTGGTCATGGATGTCCTTTTGCAGTCAAGTCTTACTTTAGTTGAAACCATATACATGTTGTTAATGCATGATGTTCTATCAGTCACTCTGCATCCAAATTTAAACAGACAAATATTGAGACATTTATTAACATTTTTAGCCATTCCTGTTTTAACTAGCACCTTTGTTCTTAGGAAGTTATTGCACTCCTGTTCGACATTGTAGTTAATAATACGAGAAACTTCTTCTTGCCAAATTTTTAAACCATATATGTTGACATAATCCTGGATATATTCAAATGATCGGTGGAATCCGTCCATTGTAGCTGCCATTTCTTTCAATTTGGGCATCAGTTCACTTGGCTAAAGGGAAAAAAGGAAATTGGAAAGATGAAAATTGAACTCTGTATAGGTAGAATCTAAAAAAATTATGCAAGGCTTCTAAATGTCTTTCCAGGATTTTATAATGCTGCAGGCAGAACTTAAAAGGTTGTTTCATATCTCAAGAATTTTTTCCTCCTGATTTTAATTTTAGGCTTCTGTAGTACTACTGATTGATCTGGGGAAGCGACAGGAACAAAACAGCAGTCATATTCTTTATTCTATCTTTTCCATTCTATGTCCTTCATGTGCCTTATATACATAATCTCTTGTCATCAGTCATCATAGACACAGATAGCATCATGAAATCAGAATTAACATGGCAGTTGGGAATAGAATAGAAACAGGTTTTTGGATTTCATCTCTCCTTGCCAATTTATGAACTCATTTTAACATGAAACAAAGCATTTCAAATAACCTTTAAGAAGTTCAAAAATATACTTTATCTACAAAAAGGAAGCGTGTAAAAATAATCTTCTAACGGACAGTATATTAAAAGAGGTTCCATCAAAACTGAGACACGTAAAAAATAATATAAAAAGTAGCTCTAACTCACCTTGGCTCTGGGATTAAAGATAAGTCCCCTGTGAAGAGCTAGAGCTACTCGTTTTACTAGCTCCTTCCTTATTCCATCCTCCAGTAATTGTTTTGGATCCACCTAAGAAATATGTTTTTTCTGAAAGTCAGAAAGCTACCAAAAATATCTAAAAATTTCATTTGTACCAAGAAAGATATTAAGTACTTATCATGTAATAGGAAAGCAGTGCCAAAACATACATTTCTCTACCAGTAGCTGACCAAAAGAAGTATTTAAATATTTCTGATAGACAACAGAGTTATTCTTTTAAGTTAAATGGAAAAGACTGGAATTGCACTTCCCATTTTCAAAAATTGTTAATAGTCTGTTGAGAAGGTACTACAATTATACACTACTTAGTGCATATTGGTTTTGTTTGTTTGCTCAGTTTGCTCTTTCAGAGTCTCAAATGCATCTTAATGTAGGAAAAGCAGCCTTTGCCAATGGAGGAAACAGCTGTTCAGGAAACCTTGCAAGCATTTTCCCAATTTCCAAAATGTGTCATCGAAAACTGATAAACCTATGCACAATGAGAACTGTGTGTTCTTGGCATCCAAATAAAAAATGTATTATTTAAAGATGCAAAGTCAGGCATCCCAGTTTGAAAATTTGGAGGCCAATTTATTTCTAATTGTCCTTTTATCTTTCCTCAAGGTCCTGGCTAATTTGGAAATACCTATCCTAGAGTGCTAATTGCTACCAAGTGATTTTTTCCTAATGGTAAAATGGAACATTACCTTGATGATACCAACTAAAGTAGTTTTCATCATGAGGATACCTTCAGTGAAAATTGAAATTGCGTGGGTTAGCTTGGCCACCTTTAAGAGGAACAGAGGATACAAATGATTGAAGTGATTCACACAGAAGTGAATACACAGATAATCGCTCTAAAAACATAATAAATATTTTAACAGAGCTAGCTTCCTACTTTAATAATTCACACTGATAGAGCTTCAATTTCTCATCTAATTCAAGTACTACTTCAAGTACTATATATATATATATATACACACACATATGTATCTATATGTATGTATATATATAGTATTAGATCAACATAGGAGTGTTCCCAGCAAGAAAGAAGAGGTACCTTCAAGTGGCTTTGCCCAGGTTATGTGAGAAAGGATCTCTGTTTTATGACTGGATATAAATGTCAATTGGTCCCTGTGGGAAGGGTCTGCTGTCTCTTTCCATGGATTTAGTACAGTAACATTCACTTCGTTTTAAACTGTAAGGTGAGCATCCGTATGCTCAGAGCACAGCCAAACTAATTAATCTTTTGCCTTTATGATATTCAAAGACAGAATAGAGATGCTGCAGTTCAAACTTAAAATTTCACAGAAAATCTAAGTGAAAAACCTTTGTGTGAGTACTTTCCTTCTCCCTTAAAACACGAAACAAAAGAAACACCTTCCCCCAAAACCACCATCAATTCCACTTCTCGCTCCATCCCTGCCTACACAAAAAATAAGCCTTTTTGCAATATTTAACACATCAGTCAAGCTCATACTCAGGCCTGAATAACAGCTTAATGGGAATCCACAACATCCACATAAAGCTCAATAAATAAGTCACTTTGCCAAAAACTGCTGAAAAAAAGGATCACATGTAATAAGTACCTGGAGACCTAACGTGTATATTCTTTGAACATGTATTGGTTTTACTCATACTTTTGCTCATCAACTTCTAATAAAAAGAAAGCCAAATAATTCTAATGTTTTTTCGTATTTCCAAACTGATAGTAAGACAAAAATCCACACAGCAATAACAGCTTTTCGAGCTGATCAGATCAGCATCTCTCCAGCTCCTGTTCACCTTTGAGGGTCTGCTGGAAACTTAACAGTGCTGGCTCACATAGCCTGTGACCTTCTTCTTCTATTGCAACAAGTATTCTCAATGTGAGGGCTTCTTTTTTTTTCTCCTACCTAAACTAATTGAAAACATTTACCCTCATTTACAAATATATTTATGTTTTCTATTATACTTTTCTTTCCATTCCTCCCTGTACCACCAGTCAATTCTAATTTAGTCAATAAGTCCAGCTTTGCTGTTAAAGCTCAAATTCTATGGAGCTGTATCTACTTAAACTTGGCTGATGTTGGCCACCTATAAGGCATGCTTTTTGAGAATACCCTACTTTAACTGCACCTCATATCGTGGTCCAAGCTGAGCATAATCTCGTAGCTTGTCCTTATCAAGGCGAGTAGGCACTTCAATAATATCGTGAGTCTGAAGCTTTATAATTTTGAGAAGAGAGGTAAACATGCTCTCTGGAATTATCTGCAGGACCTTTGCAGAAAAGAGATGACACAGACACAGTCAGTACATTCTTAGATACGTTGAAAAAGAATCTTAAACTGAGGATAAGCAATTAAAGAACAACACAAATATGTCTGTTCACATGCCTACCTTTCTTACATAGGAAACCAACTCGCCAGAATAGTACTGTGACACGCTGAGAAGGTCAGGGCTGTTTGCTTGGTTGATACGGAGAAGTGGCAAGTCAAGAGCAGAAGCAAGCTAGTAATGAAGTGAATAAAGCTGGTGAATATTTAAATTCACATGTCTGTGTTTCTAATATCTCTTACATGCCTGAACTCTCTTGGTCAGACCTCAAACTGCAATTCCTCCTAAAGGAGGGATTCTTCATACAGGGAAATATTACTACAGCAGGTTGCTGACTGAGTAGAGAAACAAACAAGCAAAAAAAAACCCAGAAGGCTCTTTTGTTAAAAAGCCCCAAACCCAACCTGTAACACTACATTCTTCTTGGGCACAGTCTCTGAACTTATCAGTCGCAGGAAAGATTTTTCTTGTAATTTCTGCTTTCAGGCTCCCTCATATGCCATTTTCAATTCTTATTTCTAGAGAAAAAGTGCATCTTCCCATGTTACGATAGATGAAGTGCATATACAGCATTATCCTTGGATTCCAATGTCAGCCACCTCTGACATGGAGAATCCCACCTAAGCACCCATATCTCCAGCAAGTAACTGTAACGGATAGAAGCTGGATGATGAGACTAATTTGACTAAAAGCAATGATACGACTGGTTGCACAGAGTAACATGCATAACTCAGTTTTATGTTCTTTAAAACTATTTCCATTAATTTGTTACACCCCTAAAGAAATGCAGATGCAGAAAAACATTAGTAAAAAAATCTGAATCATATGCAACTTTACAGACTTCAAGTCTATCTAACAACAGCCTTAGTTGACTTGCAGTGTTAAAGTACATTCATTTTTATTTTCACCCTTACCTTTAGAAAGGTGGCTCTGAGTTTAGTTACCATAGATGGATTGACTCTTATGCTTTCCTGCATAATAGATGTAAAGCTGAAGAAGGAAACAAGACAGAAGTCAGCGCCTTCGCTGGAACTCTGACTTTCAGATACTAAAATAATATGTCAATAGCACTGGGAATAACCAAAAAATGGCACAGCAGATGAGTGAAATTACACTAAGGAAGAATTTGGACTGAAGAGCTACAGGTCATGGAAAATCATATGATAAAGGCGAAAATGGTTGAAAGGAGAGTGAGTGCATCATGCACAGTAACACCCAAGTTAATGAATCAGCAGCTTAGCAAATCCCACCATGCAAAGGAGTTTTGCCAGTTTTAGTTTGTTGTTGAAACAGGATCTCCAACATTTTAGAGAACTTAAAATTAGGATCAGGTAGACAGTAAAATGTCAACAGTATCACACAGTCTGCAACTAGCAATGTGCCAAAGATGGCTCTTAATTCTTATTCGAACTGTTAAGAGTTGAATTCAGTGAGCAGCTCACAGAATAAGACTTTATGACCATTTATAAATGGGAGAATTTCCAGTATTAATTCACGCATTTTATCTCCTAAACTCAGAGGAGAAACCTCCTGGTAATATACCTGTCAATTAATTGCCAAGCATAAGACAAATCACCAACTATCTGCATGGTGATCAAGACTTCTTCTTTAATGTTGATAGTTCGGATCATCTGATGAAGAAATTTGCGCGTGTCAGCCAAAAATTGGCAAACCTGAAGGTTAGATTCCAGCTGGTGAAATTCCTGCACCTAGATTTAGCAGAATAAATAGAGTGAAAAAAAAGCCCCTTTTATCTTTAAATCTTTAAAGAGCAAAACACAATCAGAAAGCTGATGTATATATTTTTTTAATATAGTAAGGCACTGAAATATCCTGGCCTGTTTGAGAGATGCATTAAGTAAGAAATTTCACAAAATTAGTCCCAAAGGAAAACCATACTGAGTTTTTATACCCTGGAAATTAGAGAGAAAAAAAACAAAAACAAAACATGCCAGTATATTTTACTTTCCCTGCCAAATTACAAATGAATTTTCGTTTCAGAATTTCTAATAAAATGATGACTAATACTGCACTATTATGTTTAATACTGAATTTATTGCTTCAAATAAACCCTAATAATTCACATCTGCAGGTGACAGTTTTTTCATGCTTTAACCTTCATTTTACAATGAAAAGATCTATAAGCAAGTCTTGGTGGCGTTACATATAACATTGCAAAACAGGTCCGAATTTGTCATTTGTTTAGGTCTGAAGATCTTTGCTATTCATCTCTTTGAAGTCAGCACACGCGTATCAAATACTATTTTTCAGAGATATTGGCCTATTTATCTCAAAATTTCTTTGCCTTACCTCTTCCAGTGCCTGTATTAGCTGCACAGTTTTTCTCCCTGCTGCAGTGGAATCATCGTAGTTTAGGGACATTATTTGCTTGGAGATTTCTCTGAACCAAGCCTGAAGATTTTCTATTTAAGAAAGGTTTAATCAAATCCTTGCACAGATAATAAGCAGCAAAAGCATAAGGAAATTGTTGGTTAATAACAGGAAAAAATATTCATTCCTAAATATATATGAGATCATTTAAGGAGTCTTCATCTTGTTTTTACATTTCTACATTTGAGCAGGTGGCAAACACTTAAGCAAGAGTAACACACAACACTAAGAATGCCCTTCTGAATTAACAAAGACAAGAGGCAGCATGAAACCTACAACAAATAACAATAATGCCCTTTAAAACATAAATTTGTGTTTCATGAATTACAATGTTAATTGCCTTGGCAGTTTCAAACTTTTATATTTTAGTTAAATTTGCCTATGAAGTCTACATTAAACATGGAAGAGAGATTCGCATTTCATAGCCTTACCTGACATTTCTAAATTATGTGATAAGAAACATATTTAAAAATATTTAAATAAAAATATTTTACAATATAGAAAATCAAACATTAAATACTTAACCATGTGTGCTTAGCTTACAATGCCTAACAAAAGAGCATGCAAGTGACATTTCTGACATTTTTCTTATTAC